GGCCCAGCCCGCCAGCACCCCAGCTGCTCTACCCGAGGCGGGTCCACAACAAAAGCCTGGTCTGCTGGGGGGGGGCACACTAGCTGCGCCCCTCCCCCCAACAGACCAGGGACACGGGGAGCAAAGCCGCAGCGGGGAGCAAAGCCTCAGAAGCGGGGGACCCCGCCACGGCTGCGGGTTTGCTCGCGGTGCCCCTGGTCTGCTGGAGATGGTCCCCAGCAGACCAGGGGCACCGGGAGCAGCTTTTCTCGCCCCAGAGGTCAAGGTGGCTGACCGCTGCCTGTGAGCTCCGGGGCGAGAAAGCCCCGTTAGTAAGTGCGGATCTGACATAAGTCGGGGACTGCCTGTATAGGGGTCATTGCTTCAAACCCCACGCAGGATTGTCCCAGTGTTTACCTGTTCATAACAGTCTTTAGCTCCAGAACCAGCATCCAGACCGAGCAGATTAGCTGTTTCTTTAAGTTGCTGGGGCCTTTGATCTCCTATCTCAGGATCTGACAGTTGCCTGGTCGTCACCTTTTCCTTTAGACATAGCTCCAGAAGGGACGGGGGAAGGTTGCATCATTGGAGAATCTGGGTTACCCACTCCCCAGGGACTCCCCAGGAAATCCATTTACCCATGCAGGTAGGAACTGCAGAGACATAGTCAAACAAAAGAGTCACATTCGATTACATCATTTGAAGGCAGATAAGTAACAAGTGACAGATTTTTCAAGTGTGTGTAGACAAATACTAGAAGTCTAAATGCTAAGATGGGTGAACTTGAGTGCCTGGTGTTAAATAAAGCTATACTATAACAGGCGTCACAGAGACTTGGTGGAATGATGATAATCAATGGGAGACAGTGATGCCAAAGTTCAAAATATGCAGGAATGACAGACTAAGCTACCGTTGAGGGGAAGTGGCCCTTCATGTTGAAGAAAACAGAGAGTCAAATAGCAACAGTCTTACATAAAACCTCTAAGGAAAAAATGCCCTGCTTGAATAATAAGCACATAGCCAAAGGAACATATTAGTGACCACCTGGCTAGGATGGTTGTGAAATGTTCAGGTAGATTAGGGAGGCTACAAAAACAGAAAACACCAAGACAATGAGCAATTTCAACTATCCCCATACTGACTACATATATAGCACCTCAGATCAGAATGAAGAGACAAAAGCTGGAGATATGGTCTGAAATAAATAAGGTGAATTTTAATAAGGACAAATGCAAAGTGCTCCACTTAGGAAGGAACAATCCATATAGAATGGGAAGCGACTGTCTAGGAAGGAGTACGGTAGAAAGGGATCTAGGGATCATAGTGGACCACAAGCTGAATATGAGTGAACAGTGTGACGCTGTTGCAAAAAAAGCAAAATGACTCAGATGCATTAACAAGAGCATTGTGAGCACGACACGAGAAGTCATTCTTCCGCTCTACACTGCACTGATTAGGCCTCAACAGGAGTACTGTGTCCAGTTCTGGGCCCCACATTTCAGAAAAGATGTGCAGAAACTGGACAAGATGTGACGGCGTGTTGGGGTTCCCCCCCGATCCTGCAGCCCCGTAGCAGCGAGAACAGACTCTGCCAGCCAGGAGAATAGAGGAGGGTTTATTGCTTCTCCAGGATACAGCACAGCGTAGACGTGACGTGGCTACAGGAATCTGGGCCAGGATGCCTCCTACCCCTTGAGATGGGGTATCTGTGCCCCTCGACTCCCAGCCCCCTCCTTAGTCTGTCTCCTTCATGGTTCCAGCCCGAAAACTGCCCCTGCGCCCAACACTCACTTCCTTTGTTCCATCCCTTCCCTTAACAGGTAGGACCAGTTTGGTCACTGTCATGGGGGCCCTCAAGGTGCCCCCCTTCCCCCGCTGGGCAGTGCTCACAGACAAAGGCCAATAGGAGTCATCCACAGCCCAAGACACTGTACAATATCATCACATCCAAGAAATAATCTAAATAGGGAGAAAAAAAGCCTCTTTTGTAGTTTTTTATATGAAAAGTCCTTGTAAATAGAACAGATTTTATTCAATAAACTGAATGGAAATTAGAAGCACTGGGTATCTTCCTTTTTGTCTTATGTGGCAATGTTTTATGAAAAGCATGCTATAGCTAAGATGGTACACAAAATGCAAGAGAGTTGTTAAATTAGTTCATTAACTTTCTAATGCAGAATTTGCAATGAAAACTGAACATATTTTTTTTAAATAGAGCAATATTTATAGATCCCATTTGGTATGTGTAAATAGCTAACCCATTTTACCATCTCTCTTCCATTTTCAGCAAGTACTCTAAGAAAGCTCAGATCAGTGGTTTTATGTTAGCATTATGCATTTTGGGTCAAACCAATCTGATTCATCTCAACATGAAACATTTGCTTTCTGATAGGGCATCATTAGGTGAATGTGCTCACATAAGACTGGCAAAACATTTTGGAAACAAAAAGTATCTATTGTTCCAATTACATTGCATTAGATTTTCAGAATCATAATTTAGTGGCCAAGAGAAAATGACAGTAATAGCTTCCTTGCATCAGTGTTTACATTAGATTAGCATTTCATTCCCGGGTAGGTGAGGCTGTCAGAACTTCATAGTAACATTTTTAGGAAATGGTTCAGAAAAGCAATGGAGAGAGGTTTTTGTTTGTTTTTTTAATAAATTTTGGAAAATAGATAAGGATCCACTTAAACTAAACATTGCGAAGTTTGGATCTAGATGCTAAAGCAACCCAAATAATTTGGATACTACCCTTTGGTGCTGAGTCATATTCCACACTTGAAGACTATTTTGTTTATGCAGTGGTATCTCTTGAAAATAAGGATGCATCTACACAACACCATAAACTCAAAATAAAATACGCATTTTGCACTGCAAATTGTGCATCTTATTTCAATTGTATTTTGAAAGGTTTTTTTCAAAATTTGGTGCATCTACACAGCTCAGTGTGTCTACACATGTGGAACGAGGGTTCCAGGGATGCCAAAATACTGCACACGTTATTTCAAAAAATATGTCAAAATAGCACGCACATTTAAAAGACACTGTCTAGCTGTACTCTACCTATATTCACAAGAACTATTCCAATCCAGGACATTGGTCATTGTCGTACCTCGGTGTTTTCGTACCTCGGTACCTTCGGTGATCTAAGAACAGATTAGACAGACACCTGTCAGCAATGTTTTAGCTGGTGGTCCATGAGGGCCAGGGACTGGACTTGATGACTTCTCGAGGTCCCTTCCAGTCCTAGTATTCTATGATTCTATGACTGTGAAGGGTTAGAGTATGGGAGGAGACTCAGGGCTAGAGCAGGGGATGGGGAGCAGAGACTTGGAGGGGGCTCAGGGCTGGAGCAGGGGATGGGGTGCCTGGGCCTTTGGGCAGCAGCCGCTACAGCCTTTTCTTAATCCAGCCCTGACAAATTGGGATTCAGTGGCTATATTGTACTTGGCTTTTCAGGAAGCCTTTGACAAGGCTGCATGCTAAAAGCTTGTAAGGCAAGTGAGCAGCCATGGAATAGTAAGGAAGGTCTCTCATGGACTTATAGCTAATTAAAAGATAGGAAACAAAGGATAGGAATAAATGGTCCATTTTCACAATGGAAAGAAGTAAATAGGATGGACCCCAGATATTTTGTATTAGGACCATTGTTGTTCACTGTACTAATAAATCATCTGGAAAAGGGTGTTAACAGGGAGGTAGCAAAGTTTTCAGCTAACGGTCTTGAATAATTTAGCATTAAGTTCAAAGATAATTGTGAAGCATCACAAAGCGACCTCACAAAACTGGGAGGGTAACAAAACAGCAGATGAAATTCAGTGTCAATAAGCAAAAATTAATGCACATTGGAAAACATACATATCTAACTATACATATCAAATTATGGGGCCTAAATTCACTGATACATTGTGGATAGTTTTCTTGAGAAGTCTCAGATTTCTAGCTGAAAATATGTACTCAGTGTGCAGAGTGTGAGACAAAAAAAGCTAAGAGTATGTTAGGACTTTTAGGAAAGGAATAGATGCTAAAACAGAAAATATCATGATGCCTCTATATGCACCCATACCTTGGTACTCTAGGCAGTTCTGGTGGCCCTACCTCAGAAAACATATATTAGAACTGAAAAGGGTACAGAGAAGGGCAGCAAAAACAATTAGGGTATAAAATGGGTTTCATACAAGCAGGCTGTGTCTAGACTG